GACCACCTATATAGAGCCATTCTCCGGCATGATCAGCTAGCTACCTGGTGGCAGGCTGATTACACTGGACCACTTCCATCATGAAGAGGCAGCATTTGGTTCTTACTGGAATAGATGCTTACTCTGGATACGGACTTGCCTTCCCTGCATGCAATGTTTCTGCCAAAACTACCATCCATGTACTTACGGAATGGCTTATCTACCATCATGGTATTCCACACAACATTGCTTCTGATCAAGGAACTCATGTCATAGCAAAAGAAATGCCGCAGTGGGCCCATGCTCATGGAATTCACTGGTCTTGCCATGTTCCCCACGGTCCTGAAGCATCTGGCTTGATAAGACAGTGGAATGGCTTTTTGAAGACTCATTACAGTGCCAGCTAGGTGGCAGCACTTTGCAGGGCTGGGGCAACATTCTCCAGAAGACTGTATCTGCTCTCAATTAAAGCCCAATGTATGATTCTGTTTCTCCCATGGCCAGGATTCTTGGGTTCAGGAATCAAAAGGTGGAAATGGAGGTAGCACCACTCACTATTACCCCTAGTGACCCACTAGCAAATTGTGACTTTGTGTGCTGTTGGTCTAGAGGTATTAGTTCCAGAGGGAGAAATATTTCCATCAGGAGACACAACAATGATTCTACTGAACTGGAAGTTAAGACTGCCACCCGGCCACTTTGGGCTCCACGTGACTCTGAATCAACAGGCAAAGAAGAGAGTTATGGTGTTGGCTGGGTGATTGATCTGACTACCAAGAGGAAACTGGACTGCTGCTCCACAGTGGAGGTAAGGAAGGGTGTGTCTGCAATACAGGAGATCTCTTAGGGCGCATTTTAATATTACCATGCTCTGTGATTAAGGTCATGAGAAAACTACAACAACCCAAGTCCAGGTAAGGCTACTAATGGCCCAGAACCTTCAGGAATGAAGGTTTGGGTCACCCCACCAGGCAAAGAATCACAACCAGCTGAGGTGCTTGCTGAAGGCAGAGGAATAGAGAATGAATAGCGGAAGAAGGTAGTTATAAATACCAGCCCCAACCATGTGACTGGTTCCGGAAATGAGAACTGTAATTGTCATGACATTTCCTCCTTATTTTGCTTGAATACATTTGTGTATATGTTTTCTTTCCTCTCTTATTACCTTATCATGTAACATAAGATGTATTGACTTTATATCATAGTATTTAAGTATTGTTAATTTTATGTCACAGTACTTAAGTTACCGGATCTCAAGGAGGAACGTAAACATCACTCAAAGACTTTACTTCCTCTTCTGGGGAAGGAATTAGTGTGTTTTCGGCAGAATTATGACCTTGTTATTGTCTTTATTTGGGGATTAAGTATGGTTTAAGGAGATGCGTATGGGTGCCAAGTTGACAAGGGGTGAACTTGTGATGGTTAATTTTATGTGTCAACTTGACTGGTTTCAGAATGCCCAGATTAAACATTATCTCTGGGGCCGGCCCGTGGCTTAGCGGTTAGGTGCACACCCTCCGCTACTGGCAGCCCGGGTTCGGATTCTGGGCGCGCACCGATGCACCGCTTCTCCGGCCATGCTGAGGCCGCGTCCCACATACAGCAACTAGAAGGATGTGCAACTATGACATACAACTATCTACTGGGGCTTTGGGGGAAAAATAAAATAAATTAAAAAAAATTTAAACATTATCTCTGGGTGTGTCTGTGAGGATGTTCTGGATGATATTAGCATTTGACTGTGTGCATTCAGTAAAGTAAATTGCTCTCCCCAATGTGGGTGGGCGTCATCCAATGTGTGGAGGGCCCAAATAGAGCAAACGGAGGAGGAAGGTGGAACTCGCACCTTTTTTCCTGCCTCTCTGCTTCAGCTGAGCTGTTGCACCTCATTTTCTCCTGCCTGGGACTGAAATTTACCCCATCAGCTCCCCTGGTTCTTAGACCTTCCGATTTGAACTGTGTTACGCCACCGACTTTCCTGGGTCTCCAGCTTGCAGACGGCAGATTATGGGACTTTTCAGCCTCCAGGACGGCAGAACAAACTCCTCATAATAAATATAAATAAATATGCTACTGAGTCTACTGGTTCTGTTTCTCTGGAGAACCTTGACTAATACACTATGTTAAAGACTACTGTTAAACTCAATGAAAATTGTCTGAGTGAACTTAAAAAAAAAGCCAATTGCTTTCATTACTAGTTTGAGCTTTGCCCTACCCAGTTGTAAAAATTCTTCCCTTTTATATAAAAAAGGTCCACAAATACACAGGTTTCTTTCTAGACATTCTGTCCTATTCCATTAAACTATTTTTTTATTCCTATGCCAACATCATACTACATTAATTGTTATAATTAACAATTAATATAATTAATAATGTTTTTTTGATACCTGGTCTGGCTAGCTTCCATTCTTGTACTTTCTAAAAATGTTCTTGGTTCTTCTGTAAGCTTTATACTAATATATTAACTGTAGGATCACTTTGTCAAGCTGTTTTAAAAAATCATGTTAGAGTTTTTATTGCAATTATATTGAATTTATAAATAATTTTCTTTTTTTGTGAGGAAGATCAGCCCTGAGCTAACATCTGTTGCCAATCCGCCTCTCTCTTTTTTTTTTTTTTTTTTGGTGAGGAAGATTGGCCCTGGGCTAACATCTATGCCCATCTTCCTCTACTTTATATGGAACGCCGCCACAGCGTGGCTTGACAAGTGGTGCGTCAATGTGCGCCCAGGGTCCAAACCTGTGGACTCGGGCCGCTGCAGCGGAGTGCGCAAACTTAATGGCTACGCCACCAGGCCAGCCCCTATAAATAGTTTTTTAAGAGTTGCAATTTTACCTTATTGAGTCTTCCCAAATATAATAATTATTTCTCCATTTTTTCAGTTCTTATTTTAGACCTTCAATAAAATTCTTCTTTTCCCTAATCCACTAAGGTCCGGCATAATTTTTAGGTTTATTTCTGGGTATATTGTAAGATTTGTTTCTTTGATTGTTTGTGTCTACTTCTACTATTTCTAATTGGTTATAGATAATGTGTAGAAATGCTATATCCCTTTATCTCATCTTATTGCATAGTTTTGTGTATTTCATACACTGTTGAAAAACAGCAGTGATCCTTATTCTCTTTCTGACTTGAGCGACAATACCTCTGAAAATTCAACTTAATGCAGGTTTTGCTAGAGTTTCAGGTAGGTTTCTTTTTTCTTTTTTTGGATTAATTTCTATCCTTTCTATTCTTATTTTCAATAAAGAATTCACATTGAATTCTCCTGAAAGCATTTTAAACCCTCAGAGAATTCTAATTTTTAACATTTTATTTAGGATGTTCCCAGCTTTGTTCAGAGAAGACAACATTGGTTTGCAATTATCTTTTCTTCTACTGTCCATATTTGGTTGTAGCATCAAAGTTTTGCTAACCTCATTGCATTAGTTATCTATTGCTGCATAACAAATTGCCCCAAAACTTAGCATCTTAAAACCGTAAACATTCTCTCACAGTTTGAGGGTCAGAAATTCGAGAGCAGCTGAGCTGGGTGGTTCTGGCTTGAGGTCACTCACAAAGTTATAATCAAGCTCTCTGCTGGGACTTGAGTCATTTCAAGACTAGACTGGGAAAAATCTAGGACTGAAAAATCTCCTGCCAAGCTCACTTGTGTGTTTGTTGGTGGGCCTCAGTTCCCCACAGGCTGTTGGCCTGAGATATTAGGTCCTCACCTTATGGGCCACGCCACAGCTGGCTGAGTGTCCTCATGACATGGCAGCTGAGTTCTGCCAGAGCAAGTGGTGGGAGAGAGCATGCACTTCCAAAATGGAAGCTGCAATCTTTTTATCATCTAATCTCATAAGGACAAAACTATCTATCACTATGCAATATTTTATTGGTCACACAGACCAACTGTGCAAAAATGTGGGAGAGGTCTACACACGGGTGTGAATGCCAAGAGGCGAGGATCACTGGGCGCCATCTTGGAGGGTGGCTACCACACTCATAAAACAAATAGAATGGCTTCCCCTCTTTCACCTCTTCTCCAAAAAGGTTTATTTAATACATCCAGTTGCTGCTCTTGGAACATTGCTTGAAAGTGGCATGGAATATTTTCTTAGACCAGTGACGTCTTCCAGGAAAGGATTACATTACAATTTTGTTTTGTCTTTTTTTAAATCATTATCTAATCATGTTCTCTATTTCCTTTAGAGTCTGTAGAGCCCAGAGAAATGTGAAGCAAGCTTCCCTGCTCGTCCCCAGCTCCAGGAGTCTGGCTTTTGTTACTCTTCCTGCTCTATGGAGTCAAGAGCATCACCCTCACGTGGTATTGGCCAACAGCACGTCATAACCGTGACCCACCATGACAATATTCTTATTGTTGGGAAAGGCAGTCTGGTACATGCATCCCCCACTCAGTTGCATAAGAACGGGCCTTGGACCTGAAATATTTACTTACCAAGAGATAAAGAACCCACACAGCTTGTGCCAGGCCTATCGCCTCGTGTGTGAAGATCTTTCCTTGCTTCAAGCTCAACGTAAGCTCCTTTGTTCTGTGTAGTGTGTGCGCTATATGGCATCTGGCCAGCCCCAGTGCTGTATCTGTCCTCTACTGGGAGGGGACGGAGTCCTTCTACTGTGGCATGAGAGGGGTGCACGTAGGTAAATTGCCCTGCCTCAGCTGCCGGGAGAGACTCACTGGCCATGGGAGATCGAGGCCCTCCACAGAAGCCGATTCTTTGCTGTGTAAGTAAAGCATTGTGCCATGCAGCCCTTGGTTGCGTTGTGCTTTCCTTGGAGACTCTGATATCAAGATGCAGTGGGCAGAAGTGCTTGGAGTCCTCCTTTGGGATTGATAACTTGTGCACATTGTTCTGCTCAACATTTATTTTAAGACAGAAGAAATAGTGTTTTGAGAGAGAGAAGAAAAGAAAGAGGCTCAAAATCACCTCAGAAGGCAAGAATCCACCATTTTTGGAGAACCTGCTGTGGCCCAGTAACATTGTTATTTATTTCACATACGTTGCATACCCCAAAGCTCCAAACACTGTAAGAAAGTGATTTTTATTGCCACTTTGCAGATAAAGAATTGAGATTTAGGAGACAAAGTCACTTGTCCAAAATCACGAGCCAATATTTTCAGATTCATGAAGTAAATTCATGTCTGTCCAGCCCCTAAGCCTCTTCCTTCCCTTCCGTATCTGTAGGAGGGAGGCCTCACATCCAGACATTCCCTCATCACCTCCCACCCACCTCAGACCCCCTAGTGAACCACAGAAGCAGGATGCACAGAGAGAAATATGCTCATTTATTTATTCACCAATCCACAGGCATTTCCTGAAAGCCTACTGTGTGCCGAGCCTTTCCCCAAAGGAGATATTGATGGTAGAACCAAGTCTTCACGGTGAAGTGCCCCAGGGATCCAGGTCTGGGAGCAGAAAGGGAATTCTCGGACCACACAGAGTAGGGATCCAGAGCCTCTTCCAAACGGCAGGAATCAGGCTGTGAGAGAAAATCAGATCAGAGCTTCAGTGCAGAACCAGCCAAATCATCTCCAGCTGCTTCCCCAAGAGACCCCCCGAGGCAGAGAAAACAGCAAGGGGGTGGTATCGTTGAAAGAGTCTTGGTATCGGGAGACTGAGTTCAAGTCTCAATTTTACTATAAAACTCTAAACTCAGAGCATTGAGCTAGATTATTCTTAAAATCCACTGATCCTTTGGGCTTTGACCCAAGACAACATGCTGGAAATAATAATAAATACTTAGTGCACACAGTGCTTCACAAACCACTTTCAATTTCACTGTGTCCCTTTTACAGACAAGGAAACTGAGACTCAAAGAGTCACTTGTCAAGGGTCCTCAACTGGAGAGGCTGGAATAGAATCAAAGCTAGGAGTGATCCTATAGAAATCCTTGCCCTAGGGCTTGGGGAATAGTGCTCTTGAAAGACAAGGGGGTCAGGCAGAGGCTCTGCTTGGGGTAGGGCTCAGGAGACCCCCTGCTCATATGTCCGGCCCTCCAGAGGGTTGAGACTGAGAGGGCTGGAGGCAGGGAGGTCCGTCTTCCCAGCCCCTCCTTACCTCTCACAGGGGAAATGCAGGCTTTCCCACACATGCCCCTGCAGCACTTGAGGTTACCCAGGCACTGGCTGTCTGTTTCACAGTAATTGTGGGGGTTAAGCATCCGACATTGGCCATAGACCACTGGACACTTCCCGGGCTTCTTCTCAACTGGTGAGAGTAGAGCCACAGGTCAGAGGCCTGTACCTTTCACACCACCCCTCTGCTTCTTGGACCCAGGCCCTGCCCCAGCCTGAGCAAAGAGAATCACCTCCTCCCCATCCCCATGACGAGCACTTCCTTCCTGAGGCCTATGTATCCCCTGAAGGTAGGATCTGGCTCTCCTCTAACATCAGGGCCCCCACCAATGCAGGTGACCAGTTGTCCAGTGTTGTTTCGATGGGTGGCTGCCAACTGCCTGGTTGTCTAATGACCAGATGACTATTCCCTGAAAAATTGACCTCCTGACAGACTGGCTGCTTCAGCAGCCAGGTGAGTAACTTCCTGTCTGGAACAGTATGACTCCTGACCAGCTGACAAACTTGGCTCAACAATTCTTGGAAAGGAGGAGGCCTGGCAGGACCCCATCACCCAATCCTGTCCCTGTAGATGCTGTGTTCTCAGGCTCATTCCCCTCCATCCGCTCTCCCACCTCCTCACCTGGGTTCGAGATGTTAACGGGGTCCAGGCATTTGATTCCACAAACATCCTGGCAACATTTCTTCTTCCCTGGACACTGCCAGTCACTCTGGCACTCGGGCTCCTCATATCTGAGGCACTGGGCAGGTATTATATGAGGGCAGGCTCCAGCTTTCGAAGCTTTTGAGGAGAAGGTCAAGGGTTCAGGAAGGAGCCATCATGACTTGGGGACAAACCATCACTTCCCAGGAGAGACCCTTACCCAGGTGACTGTCCACACAGTCCAAAGGGAAATTCCTGTCTGACCTCCATGAGGAGTGACAGGCTTGATTAAACACATGGGCAGGAGAAGTCACAGATTCTGGAAAAAGGCATAGGGCTCCCAGCCAAGGCTTCCTGCCCCCGGGGAAAAACAAGTCTTCACAGAGGCAGAGAGGCGGTCTGGGAGTGATGGAGATGGAGAGAAATAAACAAAGATGAATAGAACCAGCATGACAGTTTGAGAGCTAGAGCCAGAGGCAGGAAAACAGGGACTAAACGACAGAAACAGAGAGAAACAAAGGAGAATCAGAGTCAGAGAGTGAGGACTGGAGAGTCACAGACAGGGTAATGGAGGGGCAGGGTAAGAACAGAGAGGGAGTGAGACCTGGGTTGACAGAGTGGCTGAGTAAAAGAAGCATTCCAGATGCTCACAAGCCCTCACAGAGACCTGGGAGCCCAGGTGGACATGAACCCACCCTCAGGGAGGTCTCCTGAAAAGAAGCTGAGAGAGCAGAGCCTAGAGAAGGGGATATCCCCACACCACCAGGAGCCCCCAAGTCTGACCCTGCAGCCAAGATTGTACCAAGGTGACTCCAACTCACTGTTTCTATCACCTTCCACAGCCCAAGGTGCCAGGGTTCCCAGGGCAAGAAGCACGAGGGGAGAGAGGCTGCTGAACTTCATGGTGGGGATAGGGGTGGCTCTAATGGCCGACGCCAAATCTCACTATTTATACTTTCACTAGTGGGTGTGGCCCCACCAGAATTTCCTTGGCCCCTCCCAGCTGTGATTGCGTAGGCAGGACGCTAAGGGAGAGACCATTAGTCCTGATACCACAGAGACAGTGGCTCTTTCCTGTCCCAGGCGAGACTGTGAGACCAACAGAATAAACGCCAGGGAAGAAATAGAAGAGGCTGGCCTGGAAGATGTCACCAGGCTGATAAGGAGGTCATGTCAGGTGTCCATCAGAACCCTGAACATGGTGGGGGCCACAGGACCATTAGCCTTGTAGGTGGAGAGGGGGAGCAGAGGTCACTGCAAAGATGTGAAGGGGAGGAAGACTATGATCTACCCACTCTGGGTCCTTTCTGGCTGGGCTACAAATTAAATTGACATGAGACCAAATAGCAGGAGAAAATCAAACAAAGCTTTATAATATGTATACATGGGAGAAACCAGGGAAACTGAGTTTCTTGACAAATAGCAGAGGTTTTCACCTTAAATAGCATATTCAGGTAGACAAAGGAGGATGTTGGGGCTGGGGAAAGTCAGCTATGGGAGATTACCAGAAATCACAGTAATCAAGAGTATGCAGATTTAAGTCCTCACCTTGCACAGTGATAAGAGTTTCTAGAGATAGGGTCATCCCCCTTCTTCCTGGTACAGAGAGGGAGATATCTTTACAAATGGAGATTTCCCTTAAACAGAACTTTGATAAGAATGGGCTTAACAAGGACCCTCCCAGTCTATCGTTTTTAGGCAGTTTGGGGGAAGGTCAAATGTCCTTCAGAGAAAATAATCAAGGTAAAGAGACATATTTTGAGGTGGCCAACTCTGATTCCCCATAGATACTATTTACATCTGGAGCTGAAACGGGAGACGTGGCCTTTCAGCTGAGACCTTGAGCAATGCACCCCCAATTCTCACATTCCTGGACTCTTGGGGATTGTGAAACTCTCCTGATTGTCAGTGCAATTTCCTTCTCAAAAGATCAAATAACATATCAGTCAACCAGCAAATATTTATTTCCCAAAAATACTCACACCACTGTATCCCCGGTCAGCCTGAGAATACTCAGGCCTATTCTGTGCCTGAGACATGGAAAGTGCTCATTAACAATTGTCAAATAAAGTGTGCAGAAAGATGAGCTCTGCACTCAGCAAATCTCTTTGGAGCTCAGTTTTCGCAACTGTGAAATGGGATGATACTGACAAATCAGCCCCGGGTGTTGTGATATTAAGAGTGTGAAAGGACCCTGAAAAGAATAAATGAATTGTATCCCTTACAACTGAAGAGAATTGGAATGAATCTGTGACAAAGTGGCAAAGCTGCTCACTGGTCACTGTAATCAACATTTAGTTACATGGTCACGTGCTGCTTACTGATGGGGATACATTCTGAGAAATGCATCATTAGGTGATTTCATCGTTGTGCAAACATCATAGAGTGTACTTGCACAAAACCTAGACGGTAGAGCCTACTATGCACCTAGGCTATATGGTACTAATCTTACGGGACCGCTGTTGTATATGTGGTCCATCATTGACCAAAATGTCGTCATGTGGTGCATGACTGTATTGTGTAATCTGGGATGTTAGAGGAATGCTCTCTACCCCAAAACCCCCTACAGATTTCATGTGATAAAAGAATTATGGCTGCCATATATTAAACCTATTCTATGTGCTACCCAGTCTGCCTAGATTGCTTCTAATTATCAAAAGAGTGATCATTATCTCTAGAATTCAACCCAAACTTGTCTAACTGCAAAGCCCAAGCTCTTCCCTCAATATCATGTGACTTCTTGATGTTTGGGATTTCCCCACTCATTCCTCAAAGTGAAAGTTTGTAAAAATTCAAATAGACCTGAACAAGTCAGGCGTTATCAAGCAGTGACGGCTCCACATGAATTAATTTGTAAAGTATTCTCCAACTAGACAGTCAACAGGCAGCAGATCCCTCTACACAGAAGTCACTTGATGGTTTACATTTTGGTGGGAAAAGAGAATGAAGAAAATTAGCACACGCTGGATAATGAGTGGGAGCCAGGGGCATTCACTACCAGCTGGAGCGCTCAGGAGGGCAAGAGAGAGGCGGAGGGGCTGACTTCTGCCAACGGGCAGCATCACTGTCAGGTGAAACAGCTTGGCTTAGGTTCTGGATTTTGGGTCTCACTTACACCACCCAGGAGGCAGCTTGACTCTTCTCACACAAGGATGAGAATGGGAGAAGCTGCCACACCCCCCACTCTCTGTTTCTTCCTATCTTCTTCAACGTCACACTCAAGACAGGTCTGGAGTTTTCTAAATATTTGCTTCTTAAAGAGGGAAAGAGAGAGTGCTACAGCCAGAGCTCTCTATCTGCGATTGATTAATAAGGCCAACTCCTTTCTCATCAGAAAAGAGCCCTGTGATCAGTTAGCAACGTCTGCCATGGGCACCGTAGGAGGATAATGACATTGTATGATCATTTCTGTCCATCACACAATTGGTTCTAAATCTTTAAATCATAGACTGTTAGGGGTCTCAGAGGTCATCTAGACCAGGGATCAGCAAACTACAGCCTCTGGACCAAATCTGGACAGCTGCCTATTTTTCTAAACGAAGCTTTATTGGACATGGCGCACATTCATTGGTTTATGTATTGTCTGTGGCTACTTACTTTCCCACTACAGTCACAGAGTCTAGTAATTGCAGCAGAGACCTAAATTATTTACAGGGAAGCCTAAAATATTTGCTCTCTGGTCCTTCACAGAAAATGTTTGCTGACTCTTGATCTAGACCAAACCTCCATCTTGCAGCATGAGACTGCTGCTGTCAGGAGAAGGTATGAGCCCAAGGCTGCATAATGAGTTAATTACACAAGACAAGATTGGGCTCTTCCAAAACTTGTTACTCCAGTGCTGAGCCCCAGAACATGTTTGGTGGTGGACGCATCCCTTCCTAACTCAATCTTAACTCAAGGTTGATTCACTGAGCCACTTCACATGCCCTCTATTGCCTTCTACTGAATACCATAGACTCATTCAGTCATTCAATTCACTCACATAAAAACTATTTAATGAGTTCTTACTGCATGCCAGGTATTGTGCTAGGTCCTGAGGCTGCAATGAAGGAGATACATGGAGTCCATATCGCATGACTGTTAAGAACCTAAACTTAGAGTCAGGGTCATCTGGGTTGGAAGAAGCTCGCTGAACCTCTCTGAGCCTCAGTTTCCTCAGCTGTAAGATGGGAGTATTGGTTTCTTTTATGCCGCACAGTTGTTGCGAGGAGTATTTGGCAAGCCCTCAGCACAGTGTCTGCTGCAGTCAGGATGGCCGACAGTGTTCTCATTACAGTCGGCTACACTGTACACTAGGCGTACAGGGAGCTGTCAGGCTCCAACTACAGCCCAGTGCTTGAGTCTGGACCCCTCTTGCTCCTAGGCTGTATGGGGACCCTGGCAAATATTTTTCTGGGGCCTGTATCTATACAAACAATTTGGTTAAAAAATACATTACAAAATTCACGGGCCCATGTGATTTATATATATATATAGTGATTCATCCATGACGATTTGGAATAATGGTAGAGAAGAGGTGCCAACATATTTTCTTATTGTCCAGCCAGAGCATATGAAGCTTCTTCTTAGTATCCAGGCACCATTTCTTCCTCTATGGGTCCAGAAACGAGCTCTTCATGTTGTTATTGTTAGATGTGACTCGTTTCGCATCTCCCAGCACAAGAAAGTGTGGCAGCTCTGTTATTACTCAGAGTGCCATGGGTCTCTATTGTTTGTGTTAAAACAGTATAGACTTTTGTGGTGGTTAACTTTATGTGCCAATTTGGCCAGGTTCTGGTGCTCTGTTGTTTGGCCAAATACCAATCTAGATGTTGCTGTGAAGGTATTTCTTAGATGTGATTAAACATTTAAATCAGAAGACTTTTTGTCAAGCAGATTACCCTCCACAATGTGGGTGGGCCTATCCAATCAGTTGAGAGCAAAGACAGAGGTTTCCTGAAGAAGAAGGAATGTTCCTCAAGACTGAAACCTAGGAACCCTGCCTGACTTTCCAGCCTGCTGCCCTGCAGATTCAGGGGCAAGAAGGCAACATTAGCTCTTATCTGAATTTCCCACCTTTCCTGTGGATTTTATACCTGCAGGCTCCAGGATTGCATGAGCCAATTCCTTAAAATAAATATGTCTCTCATTCTCTCTCTCTCTCTTCCTCTCTCCCTCCCTCTATGATCTCTCTATCTATCTATCTGTCTGTCTGTCTGTCTATCTGTCTATCTACAATATATATATATATTGGTTCCATTTCTCTGGAGAATGCTGACTAGTACAGCCTTCTTCCCTCTGTAGTTCGCAGTACCGTTTATTTAATGCCAGTTGTATCATTACTCCTGAGGCTCCGTGACCCATTATCCACCCCTCAATCCTGGCTTCCAAGTATTGTCTCAAAGGTTTTCCTTGTTGTTGACCACCAATGCAGCTAGTGGGAAGGGGGCCCTGGCCGCTGGTGGTCCTGCCCGTGGACATGCTGAGTAGTGGAATGGGACCAGGGGCACTGAGGAGTGCACTCTGCACTCTCCCTGTGAGTATCCCCATGCCTGCGGGGAAGCAATGGTAAATGACAAATAAAAAACACCATGAGAGATCACAGAGGAAAGGAAAAAGTGGGCTTTTTGTTTGGCTGGGAGTTTTTTAGTGCCTTTAACAGCAGTTTTTTCCTGCTTTTAAACAAAAGGCCCCACATTTTCACTTTGCCCTGGGCCCCAAAAATGATGTAGCTGGCCCTACAGGGGCTCATGGGTAAAGTGAGAAGAGAGGTCCATTCGCACAAGAAATATCCATTCCTCATTCTTCATGGCTCCAGACTGACCCAAGAGAGCACTGGTTAATCAGAGGCTAAACGAATAAACAAACAAAAAAACCAAATCCATTGGAAGGGCCCCTTGGTGTTGCAGAGCTGCAGTCCGGTAGGGTGGTTGCCCTGGATGCCAGCGATGAGGGGAGGAGTAGAGGGTGAGAAAGAGCCCAGAGGGGGGAGAGGAGGACCAGGACACATGCGGGTCTCAGTCCAGGCTGGAGGTACAAC